ATTATACCTTCAGCTTGCAGAGATCTAAAAATAGTTTTTTCTAGTGACTGTTAGCAAGTTAAAGAAAGATTCAGGCTTTTAAGCCTAAAATTTGATTTTGAAATTTTCATTTTTGCACTATTGAGTGTAAAATGCTCTTTAGAAATATATAACTTGTGAATCGAACTCTCTATATCATGAGCATAGATCCAAGTCTTTAAACTTTCTTTAATGCCATAAAAAAATAAAATAAAAGTGTCTGATTTTCTTTTTTTACTACTTATTTGTTGATTACGTATGTTGTTCGTAATGATAAATATTCAACAAGTGGAAAAGAAGACTGATTCTGCGAACGAATTGTCGGCACGAAGATAATGTGTCTCCATATTTCGCGTCACTATGAAACAAAATAATAAGAAAAATCAATTATTAACTGATTTCACTCTCTCTATACGAAGAGCTCATAGAAGCAGTTTCTCAAACTTTTTAAGCAAGAGAGAAAGTAAAATAGGTTTTCGGCAATAATATTGATTCTGCGAAAAGCACAGGGTTGGATAGCCCAAAGTGCGCACGTTTATTAGATCCGCCATGGCCGATAACCGGTAGCAGAATATCGACAAGTTATTTAACGCTGAAACAGTTAAGTAAAACGCATTTAACCGAATCAAACCTTATTTTGCATTTTTCTTAAGACTGTTTTTTAGCTTCAGGGCTTTCGCCATGCACAGAAATTCTCGATAACGATACATCGGAGGAAGGTTTTCTATTTTTTGATTTGTAGATAACACCTATATATAGGAGTTGATTAAATTATCCTTCTATTTCTTATAAAAATGCGGATTTCTAAGCAACTTTGTAAAGACTAGTCTAATTTTAAAGTTCTGTTAAGGACCAGAAATCAGTAAATGAGAAATTCAAAAATCGGACTTTGTCAACTGCCAGCCATAGGTGTTTACTGCAAAACAAAGCTAGTCGGAACTCTCTCTCTCTCATTTACCCGGAGTGAGAATTCTTGTGAGTGGCAGACGCCTATTTTTGGCCCTTGTTATGGTGCCGTCTCACAAACAGTTGCTAGTGACACCAAAAGAAAATTGTGTCCACATTTTGACATGATTTTATTAAATGTTTTTTGTCGAAAGGACAATATGTCTTTGCAAAATTTCAAGTCACACCCTAAGAACTTCAAATAACGCAATTTTTGGATCAAAATTATAAATCTGTTGGATTTATTTCTGACGTTTTTAGTTTACAAACGTCAGTTCCTTTGCACGTCGGATCCAGAAAACCGACTAATCTACGCTGTTGCCAAAGGGTCACTAATTTATCCCGACAAACTCGAACTTTTTAACACGAGCGAAATTTGATGCCAATCATGTGCATACAGCATTTTGCATTATTTCGGTCTATTCGTTTATTTTGTTCGCTTTCCTTTTTTTCCTTCCCCAACCTGTAGAATCATTATAAATGATTCACCTGTAGTAAACTACGGCATACACACTCTTAATATTTCACCATCCAGCTAGCATTCAATATACGAATTTTTAACATAATAAACCCGACAAGTGCATCAAAAAGGAAATATAAGAAAAGAGCAATCGTCTAGCGTTGTTTCAACGCAGGCAGAGTTGGAAATAATATACGTTGTTTATAGCACTTTTCGGTTTCATCTTCAAAATATGGTAGTTCAAATTTTCTGATTAGATGCCGACATGTAGTGGGTTATAGGTTATCAACCATGCTGATTCCGAATAAGGTAATGGGACTGGCCCATAGCACTTCGAAGATCCAGTCTTCGGGAAAACCAGTTTTTCAGAAATCCCAAAAACTAACCCAAGCCTTTCTTAATAATGCAGAATTGCAACGCGCAAATTTTTGATTAAAACGATACATCCACCAGTTCTACACGACCTTTCTTTGCAAAGTTACAGAATTTATAAGAAGACCCCTAAATTAATTCTTTCCTTCTTATTTCTGTAGCTTTGACCTGACAGTCAACAACTTAAGGTTCTTCTTCTAAATTCTATACCTTTGGAAAGAAAGGTCGTGTAGTCCTCGGCGATGTATCACTTTAATCAGAAATTTGCGCGATACCATCCTGCATTATTAAGAAAGGCTTGGGCTATTTTTGGGAACTAAAGCGAAACTACTTTTCCTGAAGACTGGATCTCCAAAGAGCTATGGGTAACTCTCACGATCACATTCGGAATCAGCATAATCGATAACCTATCTCTCACTAGATGTCGACCAAAAAGCTTTTAATCCCAACGAAACGTTTCCCGGTAACCAAACCTTATCCCCTATCGTTCTTTCCTTTTCCTGATAAACTACACATAGCACACAAACTCATGAAATACCCAAAACACCTCTTTCATGACCGCAAAATCTACACAAACAACTTACGAATAGTACACCACTAAATCAAATATTGATCACCACCACACTACCATTCACACATGAATGTTGTGAGTTACTAAGGGAGAAACATTGTTGACCACATAGTATTTGACCATATTGGCAAAGTGTGCGATTGTTGAAACATACTCCGCTCCAATAATAGTAACATTGTTGTCCACAAATGCCATAGGGACATGTTGTATTAGTTANTGGGACACACAGTGTTATTAACACATATTTGAGTTGAATTCGAATAACATTGATTATTTCCACATGGTAGATTGCCAATGTTGCACACCAGGCTGTTACTGTAGCATATCTGTGATGGAGGATAGTAACACTGGGAACCACAAAGTCCATAACCGATTGAGCAAAGTATGCTGTTATTATAACATGTTTGTTGTGTCGAACTATAACATTGAGTTCCGCATAGTTGCGGTCCGTTTGCGCACTGTGTGCCAATGTGGTTGGTTGTTCCGGGCGATGTTGCGATTGTGATGGTGGTTGTTGTGTTTCTGGCTGGTGTTACGCTGTATGTTGTGATGTTGGGGGTCGCTGTTGATGTGGTGGTTGGTGTGTGGGTCGTTGCTGTTGTTGCGCGGTTGATTGTGGTAACGCTGGTGGTGGTGCTGGCGGGTTCCGTTAGTGTTCTTGATGTGGCTGTTGTTGCACGATTTGTTGTGTAGGTGGTGGTTGTGTTTGCTGCTCTCGTTGTGAGGGTTATGGTTGTCTGTGTTGATGTTGTGGTGGTTTTTGCGGCGGTGGTTGTGATTTTGGTATTGGCGGTGTTGGTTAGTGATGTGGCTGTTGTTGGAAGGTTGGTTGTGGTGGTGATGATGGTGGTTGCTGCTCTGGTGGTGGTGGTTGTGGTGGGCTTAGTGGTCGTTGTTGTGGCTCGGATCGTGGTGGTTGCCTGGCGGGTTGTAGTTGTTGATGCGGATTTTGTGGCCGCTAGAAAATTGAAATAAATGTTTGCTGTTCTGAAATAGCACGAGTTTGGAGTGGATCAAAGTCAAGGAAGGCTATAGGGGCCGCTAATATTAAAGGGAAGAGAAACAAAGGATTGCTCAAATCTGCTCTTAGGACTGCGGTTGGGCGGGTTGGGTGGTGGTGTTGTGTTTCTTTTAATGCTTTGGTCTCACATGTGCTCGCGGGTATTGTGCTGGTACTTGTCGTTGAAGAAGACGGGAATAATTGCGAATCGACGGTCTGGACGTTGTCATAGGATATAGACTTTGCGAATCCGACCCGATTGTTTTGTATATCATAAATTGAATAGTACCGATTGAGAAAGAAATCACCGAGAATCCAGAATGGTATTGTGGTATTTTGAAATGCCGTGTAGCAGATATAAGTGTAGATGCGTGGACCGTTCCCGTACTGTATCCAACTTGTCCATTGGATCTGAATATATTGCAGTGGTTGGATAATGAAGGATTGCCCGCCAATGTTAAAACTAACATCCGGAAAGGACGAGAGCGAGCGGGTTTGACAATTGACAATCCACTATGTAGAAAATAAAATGGGCTTGAGTAACTTTAGAATGAAAATTTGTTGAACTGACGACTATTGTTCAAAAAAGTACACAGACGAATGTCAGGTCATCCAGTACTGAAATTAGACATGAACATGCACCGATGCGAAAGTTTCGGGAGCGGGAAAAGCCGTTTTGGGTATCCATCTGTATCGATGTCGGCGCTGGAAGATGTCAGGGTGGGATTAAAGGTTAGATTTTTACTACACTGTAAGCTAGAAAATAGTTATAGAAAAAGTGGGCGATTTTCAAAGACAGTCCATATGAGACCACTGATATACGACTGCGACTACTAAAACGTACAAGTCGGGATCTTGGTGCAGTGGTAAACAAACAGAAGAAAAACGACGTCTTTCCGATCTCAATAATGAACTCGATGATTTTGCCACAGAAAAAAATATTCCGGTTAGGCACACGTTAGGCTATACACTCCACCAACATGACTATCTGAATAATAAAGAACTAACCAAAATCGGGCCACTACTGTACAAAAATGGCGATTTAAATGACCAACAAAACGAGTTCGATTTAGATAAACTGTAGCATTTCGATATATAGGCGAAATCGAATGGCCTTTGTCAAGTCGTGTTGCTTAGGCCTTATATCAAAATACAAAATCGAGAGTATGTGCGAGGATATTCTCAAACCTTTTGCCGGTAATTACTCCATCGGACAATAACATCAGTGTATCCATCAAAGATCAAGAGCTAGTGATTTAATTAACTGTTAAAAGGATTACTTTTTGTGTTATCAAAACTAACTGATTTCGGGCGACATCTTTCTAAGTACTGCAGAAATAGTTTGTTTAGCTTTTTTTCCTCTTCACAGCAGTAGATATTTTAGTTATCACTCTGAATATTTTCTCTCTCGTCATTAAAAGAGAACTTTCTGTTTTTGTATGAGTATTTTGTTCAGTTCGAAACGTTTAAACCTCGTTCGAACGCGTTTTTTCGCTAAAAAGGCTTCTAAATCGTGGTCCTCTTATCGAAAATCGCGTTTTCTTATGGAACTGCGGTTAAACAACGTACGCAGTTGCTCGCGACTTGAATAGATAATCGCGGTTTCATTAGTACGAATGGCGCGTTTTGGTATTGAGCTGCGATCAACTGCGTGCATGAGTTAACTGCGGTTGTACGCTTTCCCCGGTTGTAATCGCGGTTTTTGCGAAGTCACGATTAATCGAGGTTTAAGAATCCACGCGATATACTGCGATCGTAAAAAGAAATACGGTCTCTCTATTCGAAACCTCGTATTGTACTTCAATCGTGGTCCATCGCAGTTTTATGTAAAACTGGGCTATATGCGACTGAAATAGAAAAGAGCGTTTTCTACCATGAAAAGTGCGGTTTTCGAATAATCACGGTTACCGAACGTATATCGTTGTAGGAAGTTTACGTACTATTTTTTAATTCAAAACCGCGGGTGGCACTTAATCGCAGTTGTTTTTCCTTTTTATTAATCCTGTTCTTGTTAGGGATTCTTAAAATCGCCGTCATGCTTGAAAATATAGAGGCGCTCACACTCTTGAAAAAATATTTCGGACCAGTTTCTATGAGCTGAAAATTTGCAGTGAAATGAAATTTATAAGTTCAGAATGTTTTGTCATTCCGAAAGAATTATTTTACAGAAAACAGACGACGAAATCGATCATTAAATAAGTGCGACTTAGGATCCTATCCAAGAACTGCTATTTATGGTTAGCTGATTTTTGAATAAATAAATAAGTTTCAGAAAAGTCAGAAGACATACAGCATGAATGTCGTTTGTCGAATTCTGCAGAAATAGTTTGTGCATTTCTTCACACTTTGTACTAGTACTCATCGAAAACTAAAGTGGTCGGTTTATTTTTTCAGATATGATATTTGATAGCACAACTATGAAAGGCTGTGCATAGGTTTTCTACCAGGTTTTTTTGAAAACAGTCTTGTATGGAGCATAAAAGTTTCTTAGTCTCTGTGCTTGTTTGTGTGTAAACACTAGTTCTGCGAGAAAGAACTCATAGAATATTCTAAAAGTCTTCAATTAATACCACCCACGCATGCTGTTCCATGTGCCACATTACAACGCGCTGACAAACTATTACCGCTACCCTGAGGAAATATTTACGAGACCACGAGACGACCGGGACCAAAACGAGTTCTTTCCACGAGACCGGGACCGAGCAAAAACATTTGATCGCGTAGGCCTCTAGTGATTTTGGCTACTTTATTAGCGTTTGCTGCATATTATTCAATGTCGAAGATCTGGTCCTGTTTAACTGCTTAGGTAGATTTTTAGAAAAATCCTCATCTTTAGATACATTAGACCCGTGCAGCATGTTTTACTCGGACTTTTCTTTGAGAACCTGATGCGTTTGTCGCAGTAGATCGCATACTCATCTGTCTAGTACATATCACTCGATTCAGTTTTCGATGCTCACCATGAACATGAGCTTCATTTCGCTTCAAAGTGCTTTCTTTATAAAGAAAAACATAAAAGAAAGTTATGTCATATTCTCCTTTTCTTTCGTTTTGGGAAGGACCGTAGAAAAAGAAACACTTTCCTTTTCCAAAAGAAAGAAAAGCCAGTTTTTACTTTTCTTTTTTGGTACAGAAACGCCCCTGGACTGCATGCCTATCACACAGCTTATGGTCTGCAGCTGAACATATAAGCACAAAAGACGCGTAAACGTCACTAAGAACAACGTGTCGTAATAAAAGCAAGAAAGTTTCGAAAGTCACTAACTTTTGGGATAGTCAAGGCTGAAAAATTCTCCAAAACTTCGTTTGTCCGGAAAAGACGTTTATTTCCATTTGTCGGCTGAAAACGCGTTTTTCGATGATTCGTCGGCTAACCGCGGTGCTCGATGGGTCATATAGCGATATATATATGTGAAACGTGATTACGGTTAAAACCGCGAGAAAATAGGCATTACGGTTGACCGCGATTCTCAATAGAAACGCGTGGAACCGCGCTTTTAACCGACTTTGCCGATGGTTCGCGATTAATAAAGCATCTGCGGGCCCCCTGTAGCGCCTAGTTTCTCGCGGTTTTAAACTCAACCGCGGTCCACTGGATTTTTATGAGAAAAAGATACTCATGGATATCAACTTCGAAAAAATTCGTCTCAGCACGGAACAACACGTTTAATGCAGAGAGAAATATACCATCGTATATCTCTGATATATAGGGCTACACGCTCACTACACCATCCTGTTTCTTCTAAACTGCCGATATCCTTTCTCTTTAACGAGTGAACAGCCTTACACGTGTATACTTACTTGACCCAACGATACATTATAGACGCCACCGACAGCTCTATTGAGTATTTGAACTTGAGCATCGGGACCAACTATGAGTGACGTGCCTGTGTCAGCTATCGCCGAGCAATTCAATGAACAAACACTTGTGCCAGACACAGTTACACTAAATGAATAGATGCATGCGCACATTCAGTAAAATAAACTATTAATAATTTCTCTTTTGAGAACCTGTCCATCGAAAATTGCCAATAGCCTTGAGTTGTGACAGGGATATAGGTGACTGAACCAGTGTACTTTGATGTGTCAATATCACCCAATATTAGTTCGCCTCCCACTATCACCGTGTAATTTCTAAACGAACACACATACTTGGATGTCCTTGTTCTGTTAGAATAGTTGTGTTTGGCTAGCTGCTTACGGATTGAAATAGAACGAAAATATTGGAGCTGGTATTAAACCTTGGTTCCACATATTGTAAAACAGTGGGGTTTCGCCACCGGCTGCTATGCCTGGGTAAGCCAAGCCTAGAAGGCCATCGCGATAATCACCGACACCGTTAAAACCGCCAGTTTGCGTTGCTTCAGCAAATATTTGATTGCGAACAGCGACACCGCCAACCTTTAGAAGTTTCATTTCTTGCACAAAACATCATAGGAGGAGAAGAAGAGAACAGATCTCACTTACTGTAACAGTATCATTACTCAGATACCCAATTGCATAACTCGAATCACCGTAAGAAATACTAAATGGTTGGCCGTTTGGTTTGTACGTGCTGGATAATTGATGATTGTAAAGATACTTACCGCCTACGGTAGTGGAAAAGTTCACATTCGACTAGATAAACAAGATATAATTCAGACACTTACTGCAAGTTGTACACGAACTCGATGGAACCCAAAGATCAGATGAGCCTGTATCAAAATCGATTGAAAAGTTTTGTCCCGGTGTTCCAATGTAGACTGTTCCGATCCAGTAATACTAGAACAAAAATGACTGTACTTTATTTTCTCTTTCTCACCCGCAGAAAACTTTATTGTACATCGAAGTTGTTTATTAAATTCACAATACCGCCGCCGCCAACAACGTTGCTCACTGTTCGACTTGCAGCCCCAGTGGCTGGTACAAAACGACTGACTCGACTGCATGGAATGCTGAAATAATCAACAAGCAATTCCGTTTATAATACATCATCCGAAACTCTGAAAATATTTTCTCCTTCTGACGAGACAAACCGTAGTAATTTTGTGCCGTCAACATAAAAGATGATAAAACTAAGCAGTTTAAAGGTTAACCGTAATATTGGTAAACCCATTTCGTTTAAAAACCTTGACGATGAACTTTCAACATATAAGTTGTCGTCTTATATAGAGAATTATAAGATTAGCACACATATTTTTGCAGAATCATTCCACAGAAAACAAAAACAAATAAATCACCTTTTTAGTGCAACAATTTATTTTTGACAGAGGTAAACTGTTTACTCAGTTATTATTCATTTTATGTAAAATCAAATAGTTAAAACAATTTTACCGTTCTGTATTCCGCGCAGCATGTTGTCTCAAAACTTTCTGCATCTGTGTTGTCTGCATTCATCAAGCACAATAATTATGATATAGATTCAGTGGGAGGAGGCGGAACTAAATAGAACAAGAATTTCTAATCGCCGTGCCCTTTTGTCAGAGTAGATAAAAGTTTTGAAAATTGCTGCACCACAAATCTAAAGACTTTTCTTCGTCGAATGTTCTAATCTGTTTTTCAAAGTACACGATGCAAAACTGATGCAAAACTGGCATCGTTTCTTTCTATTCAACATCTTTGAAAACAGAGATTCTGCATTTATTCAAACAAATCGAGCACAAAGAATATTTTCAGCGACTTTTGTGATTCATTTCTATGCAAAGAGAATTATCGAGAGCTCCAAGAAAGAAATAATTTTGTGATATTGCACTTTATTAGCAGATATTTCCAACTTTGAAACTCTATGAATATTTGTTCCATCTCCTTTGTTAAACAAGGCGAAGGATAGGAATATTTTCTGTCTGCGGATATTTTCAAAAACTTCCGTATGTGTTGAAATTTGAAATTTTTTCAAAAGTGCACCCTCCGCGTGCACAAGCTAGCTGAAACACTTCCAAGGACTTGGTTGGATAGAGCTCGCAAAACCGAACATACCTGGACAGTTATTGAGTTCTGGACCTTGGATAAAAGTGGTTTTTTATAGGTTTCTGAAAAATCTCTAGACTAAAATTTATATTTTAGTTCCTTTTCAGCACTGTAAAAGCATGTGATGTAATTTTTAAGATATGGTTATCGATAGAGTTTGAAGAGCTGAGCAAACCCACTGGTCTTTTTAAGTCTAAAAGAGGATTTTGAACAGATTTTAAAAAGTTTTCGAGAATACCTCCGGCAAATTTTAGCTTTTTTCCACTATTATTGGTACTCTCGATAATTTGTCTAGTTTTTATCGCATGTGATGCATCGAAATGACTTTATCGTGGCCTTCAACGATTTGGTATGCTTTTTTCATAGACTTTTGACGTTTTACTACAATCCAGTAGGTTTGTTTCTGTTCTGTAATATGGTTTTCTGGAAACTCTACTTCTGACATTTTTAAAATTATTTCGCGTTAGCCATCGGAAAGAGCAAGTACTGAGATTTATCAGAATCCGTCTGGTACTTCATACTGTAAAAATTGAAAACTTTCTCATGTTACACGTCTATTATGTTCTTTTAGTTTTTGTAATTTTGGTTTAAGTATATTTTTATCTATACTTCTGGATTTGTTCCTTTCTATAAACGAATAATAGGCGTCTGTTTATTTATATGATTTATTGACGTTTTTTGTCAATAACGTGTGACTGTTTATATTATATATACTTGATTATACATACAATGAATAATAACTGAGTAAACAGTTTACCTCTGTCAAAATAAATTATTGCACTGAAAACGTGATTTATTTGTTTTTGTTTCTATGAAATTCTTCTGCAAAAATATGTGCGCTAGTCTTATATTACTCTATATAATAGGACAACTTATATGTTGAAAGTTTATCATCAAGGTTTTTAAATTGTAATTGTGATATTGTATTTTATTGGCAGATATTTCCAACTTTGAAACTCTATGAATATTTATTGCATCGCCTTTGTTAAACAAGGCGAACGATAGGAATATTATCTGTCTGCCGATATTTTGAAAAACGTTCCGTATGTGTTTAATCAGAAGACCGAGCCAATCAAAACCCTATACTTTGCTCCTTCGATACAGTTGTTTCTACTAGAGAACGGAATAGAGAACGACGAAATTGTTTTACTATTTGATTTTACATAAAATGAATAATAACTGAGTAAACAGTTTACCTCTGTCAAAAATAAATTGTTGCACTGAAGACGTGATTTATTTGTTTTTGTTTTCTGTGGAATTCTTCTGCAAAAATATGTGTACTATTCTTATATTACTCTATATAAGACGACAACTTATATGTTGAAAGTTCATCATCAAGGTTTTTTATTCAACACCTTTGAAAATAGAGATTCTGTATTTATTCAAACAAATCGAGCACAAAGAATATTTTCAGTGATTTTTGTGATTCATTTCTGTGCAAAGAGAATTATCGAGAGCTCCAAGAGAGAAATAATTTTGTGATATTGCACTTTATTAGCAGACGTTTCCAACTTTGAAACTCTATGAATATTTATTGCATCTCCTTTGTTAAACAAGACGAACGATAGGAATATTGTCTGTCTGCCGATATTTTCAAAAACGTTCCGTATGTGTTTAATCAGAAGACCGAGCCAATTAAACCCTATGCCTTGCTCCTTCGATAAAATGCTATAATGTCTTCAAAAAAAATATTTTTGTGCATGCTATTAACTATAGTATCGTTCTGCATAAGACTGCTCCTAGGGGGGGGGATCGTTACTGTTACCAACAATGGGTAACGACCGTTGCGGGTTATGGTAACGGTTTGACTATGTGTGAGAAAGTGGAGAATTTTGACCTGGCGCGTGGACATGTGCTAGAAAAGTAGCACGATAGCCTCTAAACACTCTTTGTGTAGGTTTTCTTATGTGCTCTTTTCGACGGCGTGTATTGAAGTTTGAAGTTGGAACACTTCAAACTTCTAAAGTATGGTCGCACTAGTTTTCCAAAGACCGGAGGTCTGTAAAACCTGTGCAAACACACCTTTCAAATTTGAAAGCCATGCCATTAAAAAGATTTTGTACCATAACGTATAAAACGAGTGATTAGAAGCTTTTTTGCAACGTTTCTACCACATGTCCATGTGCCTAGTCGAAACTGCTATTTCACTAAACCCGTCGCATTACACTGGATCGAAACATTTTCTGTTCAGAAATTCTCCATATTTACATAAATGGATGCTGTTTTTCATACTGATTCCGAATATCATATTATTTTCAAATAAAAGTGCCCCTGAACTGAGGAAAATTGACAACATCTGAAAACCCAGGGATTTTTGGAAAACCTGTAACTCGACTTTGAAAAATATGCTGAAAAATGAGATTTGTATGTCTTGATAGTATCAAGAGAATTATGAATTATATATAAGAATAATGCTCGCAGTTAAAATTTTAACTCAGAATTCATATTAAACAAACTTGAAAGTTGTTCATTTGATTTAACCGTTATCCATTACAGTAACGGTAACTCAAAATCGTTACAGTTACCGGAGTAACGAGGCTAACAATAACGAGTAACAGTCCACCCCCTAACCGTACCTTACTCCAAAAAGGCTTCAAGCAGAAAGGCTTTATGCAAAAACATGCACAGAAGGATTTGTGCTGTGACGTGTTCTAGCATCAGCAATTTACGCGCATACCAATTAAGGATGAACTACGGTACATGGAGGATCCGAACAGGCATAATGTAGCACTTAAAGCTATCGTCATAGTTTAGCGATGAAAAGTGGTTGATCGATCAGACTCTGCTACCCACTGTTCATTACGCTATTTCGGCTTTTCTTTGTTCAAATGCAATGAGTTTTCAATGTTTTATATACAAAAATGTTGCTGATGAAAAGAGCTTTCGAATACAATATAATAAGTGCGGTTAACTGTGAAATGGAACGACAAAACAGAGTAAATACAGTTTCCACTAGGATTCGAGCAGAGGAAATATTCAAGTGGTAAAATTCATCTTGAGGCGCAGTTCTAAGGTATCCACGATATCCAGTTCGACTGCCCTAGCCGCATTGTACGTACTCTAGGAATAAAACTGAATTCGATTAATAGGCTGATTTCATCACGGAACGGTACCCCTTCTTTCGAATGAATGATTTACTTTCTTTTCTTTGTAAATGAACTGAATGTATATCAAAGTAATGAATAATCAATCGCACAGAATTTAAAGATACGATCGCTTATGTTTTTCTGTCTGTAAACTCCTGTACAAACTGCGTGTCGTAATTGCTGAAAGCGATATAAAGCGTTTTATTCCATTTTTTCTACACAGATCAGCATATTCCTAGCAAATAAAGTAATGGTACATGACACACAAGACAAATTTTTGTATGAATACACGTTCCGGATACAAATAATTCCAATGCGCTGCTGCGGGAACTTTCTTCGATATTCTTGATCGGAGATCCGTATGAAACAAGTGTTTTTGGCCGACCCTATTTTGAAGAATAAAGAAAAAGTTTCTTTGGTACAGGACACAGGATAGAGTGTCCTGCAGAACAAAAAACGTTTTGTCTCCTTAACGAAGAACGTGTTATGTTCGAGGAACTCACCTTTATTAACGTATTCATTTCATAACGAATTTCATTTTCTCCACGCCTTATCAGTGGATTCTTTGAAATTCCTATGGTTTCAAGATCTGACAGCACAACTAATTGCGATCTAGTCTTGAATATATTTTTCAAAACAGTATATTGTTTCTTCTCTCACTCGCATCAGAAATGAGAACCTCGAAGGCCTGTGTATGATGCGACTATGCATACACCGAGTCCGAGTACTCCACTACTCGATTATTTTTTAAATCTATTATCGAAACCGAAATATAAGACACTTTGGAGATGAAAAGAGCGCGAAAAATTGAATTGATCTATGTACCTAGCTCATCATGAATTTGAGGTATATGGAAATCTTTGTTTCTGTGGCGACATTGATGTTGGAGAAACTATATCGTTTAAACGTCGCGTAGTAAAACAACAAAACGAAATAATTCTAAGGGATTCTGAGAGTTCTAAGTTAGCAAATCATTTTCAGAAAAGTAACGCATATGGTATTAATTTTGAAGATAGTGTAGTTCATGACAAAGGGAAAAATATAGGAGCCAGTAAAGATAAGCCACCACCTAACGTGCTCAATCGACCATCTCAGATTTGTTTCAAGATAGGGGTTCTCTAGAGCCCCGCATTTGGTCCGAGTCGGAATTTCTATTACTCCTGTTCACTGCTGATTGAGACTCTTTTCTGCTAGAGCTTTTCCGTTAGTTTTCCCACATGATCGTTGGTACACGTAAAAGAACGGAACACAGGTAATTTCCATAGACAATCAAAAAAATTCCATAGCTTGCAAAATACACATTCGTCGAGAATTTGATTTTCTAAAAAATGAATTCACATTTGCTGGAAATTCATTTCGCTATGCAAAGGATGATCATACTGCGTATTGATGTATATGATGTACTTGAGAATTCTCTATTACTTTCTGGCTAGTTCAGCTCAACATCTAGGAGTCATTGCATGAGAGAAACTACAAGTCATGCTGTGGTTTTCTAGAGTCCGCTCGATGGAAATTTCAACGTCTATACATGGAGAGCAAAAATAAAGATTCTATTTCTCCCTGAAGACACGTGATGGAACAGAGATTTTTTCATCCTATGTGGTCCATTGCATGGTCTAACCGATAATGAGATCAGATCGTTTTTACCTCGGATCTTCAGTCCGACAGCGAAGGTCTTCCGACGATCTTAGAAGTTCATATTGTATGTACCTTTGGGGGCTTCTAGAAACCCCTTAACTTTACCGAAAAAGTTTTTATAGTGATAAACGTAAAATTGTGATATAAGCAGTTAAGTAAGACTTAGATCATTGTTGTCATGTCAATAATTATGTTGAACAACGTCTGTATTAAAATCCTCGATACGAATATTAGCTAATCCAAATACACAATTAGCTATATGTAAATAAAAACGTTGGTCGCTTTTAAAATGACGTTGAGCATCTGCCATCACGCGAAATAACTTTATATGTTTTGTAACGTGCTCAATTCCAATGCGATAGTGTGAGTGACAGTCGATTATTGAAAGCTAACCTCTGTTGCTCTGGTAAACCTGCGCGATGCAGCTCGTTTGATCTAGAATACAAGGAGGAGGCCGATACTGTCATTTCATACAATTCTGTACATTATTGTTTCTCACCTGAATGGTGTAAATACCGGTGGTTTATTCGCAAAACTTCGATTTCCTAATAACCAAGGCCCTTCAGCAACTGGACATTGTTCACCAACTTTAGCTAGAGTAAACAGTTTAGCATCATGATATGAACCAAAATATCCGGTTTTAAAAAATACAAATCGCCGATCAGGGGTGCAAATGTAGATGGTAGCCAGTGATATTTCTGTTTTCCCGAATAATAAATTTTTTACCGTCGTACTAAAAAAAGTTGATTAGCGATTTCTACTCGCTATTCGTCTAAGAACATTCCTACTTGGTCTTTGTATTTTATGGCAGGTACCATCTATATATGTTTCCAGAACTGGATCGTAAATAATTCTTTCAGATAGTTGTTCTAATGAGGGTCACTGAACCTTTCCGACAGCAGAAGACAAAATCGGAATAAACTGTCGAATCCTCTGTTGAATATTACGAGAATGAATACTAAACTGAGGGCTGAGTTATTGTGAGGTGGGATATTGACGGAACTAGGTATGTTACAAACCCAAACCCAAGTCTGGACTTGGGTTTGGGATTGGGTACCCAAGTCCGAGACTTGGGTTTGGATATTGAGTCAGACTTGGGTTATTAAAAGACTCCTTTTAACTGAGATAACTTCTTTTGTTGTGGCTCTTTGAGAAAACAGGATGTAAGATGTTTATTTCGGCCTGTGGGCATACGTAATGCCTTACGCTAACGA